TCTCCCCCCGCCTTCGCGCCCGACCTCTGGCCTCCGCCGCCAACCTACCTTTCCGCGACCCGTGCCCATCGCGCCTGCCGCTCCCGCCCGACGCTCCGCTCCTCTCCATCCCGCCACCCGCCACCGTCCGTCCCGCCATCCGCCTCCTCGCCTCCGACCTCGACGGCACCCTCCTGACCGCCGCCAAGCAGATCCACCCCGCCAACGTCGAGGCCGTCCTCGCCGCCATCTCCCGCGGCCTGCTCTTCATCCCGGCAACGGGCAAGTCTCGCGCCGGCGCCATCCGCGCCATGGGCCCGCTCGCCGCCCACTTGCAGGCTGCCGCCGCCGGCGACTTCCCTGGCATCTTCCTCAACGGGCTGCTTGTCTTCGGCCGGGCGGGCGACGTCATCTTCGAGCGCTGCCTGGCCCGCGACCACGCGCTGTACATCCTCGAGCAGGCCGAGCGCTCGGGGTTGACTGTCCTGTTCTACGCGGGGGATCGCGTCTTGGTGAGGGAGCGCACACTGGAGACCGATATGTTCATCGTGTCGCACGAGCCCGTGCCGACCGCCGTGGGGGATTTGGCGGAAGCCGTGCGGGGGACGGCCGTGCACAAGGCGCTGCTTGTCGATCCGCGCAAGGATGTCGTAAGGTATCGACGAGAGATGACGGACGCATTTGAGGGGGTTGCGGACATTACGCAGGCGCGCCCGGACGTGCTTGAGGTGCTGCCGGTTGGGGCGAGTAAGGGGGAGGCCTTTGTGACGCTGCTTCATCATCTAGGGGTTGAGAAGGAGCATACCATGGCAATCGGCGATGGTGAGAATGATGTCGAGATGATTAAGGCGGCCGGTTTGGGCGTCGCTGTGGCTAACGCTGTGCCCCAGATGCTCAGTGTGGCCGATGAGGTCGTTTGTGCCAATGATGAGGCCGCTGTGGAAGAGGCGATTCGCCGCTTTGTGGCTTGCCAGTAAAACTTTGTTACGTTGATGACTTTTTTCCCCTGTCACTCTAAACTTTGAGTCAGGATGAATCGCAGGTGGACTCTCTAGTTCCCCAACGAGACTCTAGTGCATGCACACATGCAGCAACATTCGCATTCACTTAGTGTAGGCACGTACTTTTGTCTGTCAACTCATACGCCAGGGCGACCGACCCTTAATAAGAAAGCGTTTGCAATACAAACACACTAGCGAGGCCAAGGGGTGCAATCGCTATTCATACAGCACATGATTTCACGTGCAGTTGCTATCGCTGGGTGAGCACACTTCAAATATTTCCCGTCCAAATGTGGGTCACGTCTATCGCTTGTGTGCTCGAGCAAAACATCCAGGGCGCGTAAGTGCTGCACTTACTTTGGGGCGGTTCAACAAAAACAAGGAGGTGCGACATTCGTTTTTAAAAACTGTGAAAACGTGCAACTTCATCCGATAGAGTCGAGAGAGAATGAAGAAAGGGCACGATATCTCCACAAGCCCTCTCTGTCAAATCTCGTCCTCTGTCTGTCCCTCGTGCAACAACAGTGTCTTTTCTAGCTATATTCTTAATGTGTCAATCTGTGATATCGTGCCCTATTCCCTTTTCATTCCTCATTGCGACTTGGTCGCCGCAAACAAGCGGGCAACTTCTTCGGGCGCGATAGCCTTTTTCAAAAACGGATGGGACAGCAATTGGCTTGCCGAGGCCCGTCTAGCAGGGTTGAGTACCAAGCAGCAGCTGATGAAATCGTTAAACTCTGCCGACCAACTCTGCGGTGCCTTCAGTTTGGGCGGGGGCTGTGTCGTGATGAGAAACATTGCCCTCAACGGTTTCTCGTCCATATGGGGTGGCTCCCACTCTGCGCACTCGATAGCGAGGATTCCTACGCTCCACAAGTCGACCTTGTAGTCGTACTCGCTCTGTCGAATGAGCTCTGGTGCCATCCAATATGGCGTCCCGACGCATGTGGTCCTCTTCTTTCTCTCCTCTGTGAGCTCTGCGCAAAACCCAAAATCGGCAAGCTTCACCTGCCCGCTCGCTCCGATCAGCACATTATCCGACTTGATATCCCGATGCAACCTCTTCATGCTATGCATAAACATGAGCCCCTTGAGGACCTCTCTTATGACGAAGGCGATCTCTCCCTCCGACATAGTCGCCCGCAAGTTTTGATAATTCTCTAGCACATCAGTCAAGCAACCTCCATCCATGTATTCCATGCTAATCCACATGAAGCCTCCCCAGTTGTACGTCTCATGGCACTTGATCAAATTAGGATGTCTCGTGCAACACATCATCCTGATCTCCATTTCCAACGCGTCTGACTCGGTTTTGTTCTCCGGCTTGACCTTCTTTAGAGCAACCTTTCCGCTGCTCTTCTTGGAAGCCACATAAACGCTGCCGCTCGCGCCCTGCCCAATTTGTTTCATATTTGAGAACACGTCGCGCGGGTTGAGGTTGTGGATGTACACTGGCTCCTTGGGCGCGATGCTCATCCCCGCGGCGCGGCGCGACAACCCGTCGCGAGCCGGCGGGGCTGGGGCGCGAGCGGGAGGCGCAGGCATACGAACTTTGATTTCCGGACGATCCGGACGTTCCGGGCGGTCGGGGACGCGCTTGGGCGGGACGGGCGGGCGGTCTGGCATGAAGGGCGCTCTCGGTGGGGGAGGCCGCGGCTTCGGAGCGGCGGGAGACTTCCTCGGGGAAGCGGCACTCTTGGCCGGGGCGAGGGGCTTGCGAGGCGGGGTGGAAGGGGGGACGCGATGGGCGGACGGCTCCCTTCGCGGGACGGGAGCAGCGGCGAGGGCGAGGGAGGGCTTCTTCTTCTGTGGGGGCGGGGCGCCGTAGAGGTACAGTTGGAAGGCCCTCAGAGCGGCGTCCGGGTCGGCCTTGAAGTCATCGTTGGTGATGCCCTGTTTGAGCAACTCCTGTTCCATGCGCGGCGGAAGTCCGCGGAAGCCAGATGTGGCGGAGGCATCGGATTCGACGTGGACGCGGTGCTGCGAGCGGACCGGGAAGCCCACGGTGGCTTTGGAACCCGGGATGGGCTTTGGAGGGGGTACGCGAGGGGCGCGTTTGTGCGGGGAGGGAGGGAGACGGGTCCTGTTGAGAGAAGAGGGGTGCGGGTTTTCCTTGTTGTGGGACGGGGAGGGAGGGGAGGGGGGATCGTCGTCCAGCAGGATGCGGGGGGAGAGCATCCGGCGGATTGAAGAGAGCATTTCCATAGTTGTGTGGAGGAGGAGGGGATGCCGGAGGGTATGGCGGAGGGGACGGGACGAAGATGGGAGCGTGGGAGATGAGGACGAAAGGCGGGGGAGGGAGGTTGCGGAAGTGGCAGAGGGTTAAGTAGTACCGGGACGGAGGTGGTTACCGTTACGGCGTGAGTGAAACGTTCGGAAGGCGTGATTGGGTCACAGTGGGCCGTTGGACAGGATCAACCAATCAGATAGAGCAAAACGAGAACACAGCGAGGTACGAGTGACGGGGTCACGCTGTTTCATGATCCATGGCGGGAGATTTTTGGGCCGTCCTGAGACAATAGGGTCGTTGACATACACGTGGACACGTGGACCACACCCGTCCTGTCCAAGCGACTCTTAATCCGGCCGAGGGCGCGAAGGGAAAATGGCACGAGGGGGTGGCTACCGGTGGGGCAAGGGGATACGTAGCCCCCCAGCCCCCGCATAGAAACGAGGTGCAAATACACACAACACACAAAAAAAACTTTTAATTCTCTGGTGAAACCTCGCCTTATTCCTCGGCCGCCGCGTACATGTCCACCAGCTCTTGTACGTCATCCTTGCTTCCAATAATCAACGGCATCCTCTGGTGCACGGCGTTGGGGATGATATCCATGATCCGGTCCTTCCCTGTGGTCGCGATCCCCCCAGCTTGCTCGACAATAAAGCTCATGGGCGCGCACTCGTACAGCAATCTCAGCTTGCCGTTCGGGTTCTTAGCATCCCCTGGGTATCCAAACACGCCACCGTACAAAATGGTGCGGTGGACATCCGCGACCAGCGAGCCGATGTAGCGGCTCGAGTATCTCTGGTTGGTCTGCCCCTGCCCCGTCTTGAGGTTCTGGACATATTTCTGCAGGATGGGGTCCCACGCGGGCTCGTTGGCCTCGTTGAACGAGTAGATGTTGCCTCTCTCGGGAATCTTCATGTCCGGATGAGTGAGCACAAACTCGCCAATCTGCGGGTCCAGCGTGAAGCCGTTGACGCCGTGGCCCGTAGTGAGCACCATCATGCACGAGCTGGAGTACATGCAATAACCCGCAGCAACCAAGTTGGAGCCCGGCTGCATGGTGTTGTACAAACAAGTGAGCTCGGACTCGTCAATCTTGGACTCCCAGTCCGACGCGAGGCAGCCGGTGTTCTGCACAAAGATACCAAAGATAGTGCCGGTGGCAATTCCAGCATCGATGTTGGAGCTGCCGTCAAGCGGGTCGAATACGGCGACATAGTTGCCCGAGTACACCTCATCCACAACCACAGGCTCGTCCTCCTCTTCCGAAGCAATGATGCCCATCTTGCCGGAGTAGCGCAGGGCGTTCTTGAGGACCTCGTTGGAGAGGACGTCCAGCTTCTTCTGCTCCTCTCCCTGGACGTTGACCGAGCCGCCGCCGTCCTCCAAGCCGGTGAGGTTGGAGATGCCTGCGCGCTGCACCAGCGACGAGATCTTCTTGCACGCCAGCTGGATGGAGGACATGAGCGACTGCATGTCCTGCATGTGCTCCAGGTCGGTGTTGTCCATTGCCGACTGGATCATGTAGCGCGTCAGAGTCATGGGGGACGTGTCCTGGTGAACGGTTTGCTTGGGAGGGGAGACGACCATGCGCGGGGCCGTGCGCGCCGTGCGCGCCGCATGCGCGCGCGAGGCAGGGCGGGAAGAAGAGTTGCGGAGGGAGACATGGGGGTGCGAGGAGCGGACGGCGAGGGCGGGGACGAAGGCCGGGGGAGCCATGGCGGGATGAGAGTTGATGAAACGTGGGGGTGGAAGGGGGAGGTAGGGCGAAGGGGGAGGCGAGTTTCCGGGAGAAAGAGACGAAGGCGTCTCGGCTCGAACAAGGGGGCGTTTGTGGCTGCGACAGTCCAATGCCACGTGAGGCCAGGGATCAATGCATTCATCTCCTGCTTTCCAGCCTTACAGAGACGCGTATGACAGGGACGGGACTGACAGTGAACTTGCACGTGTCCACGTGGCATGACGCTGACGTTATATGCCACGTGGACAGCGATCACCGTCAGCAGCTGCTCATCCTCTTCCCCAGCCGCATTCTCCCGCCCCTTGTCCACTACCCCCGATTCCTATCCCGTTCGTTTTCCCCTTCGCCGTTCCCCTTCGCCCTCCCCTTCCCCCCTTCCCCTTTTCCCCTTCTCCCTTGCCCCTTTCCTTACCATGCACAGCCCGCTCCCCCCGCCCAATGCGGACGGCCCGCCACCGTCCCCTTTCTTCGAAACGCTCGTCGACATCGGCAACATGCTCAAGGCCTTCATCGGTATAAACTTCATGTACGTGGCCTACGCCTTTTCCAAAGCCGGCCTCTACCGCGGCATCTTGGGCCTGTTCGTCGTCCTGTGTCTCACAGAGCACTGCTGCCTGCTCCTCCTGCGCGTGAAGAACGCCATGCCGTCGCAATCCCCCGCGTCCGCCTACGCCCCGCTCCCGCAAACCGATGACGCGGAGGGCGGCCCGCCCTTACCGCCACCCAAGCCGCCACAGTACGGCGACATCGCCCACTTCGTCGCTGGCCGCCCGGCGGAAACGCTGGTCAACTGCGCCCTGGTGCTCACCCAGTTCGGCTACTGCGTGGGCTACCTAATCTTCCTGTCGTCCACGCTGCACCACATGCTCCCGCTCCCCCTGCAGGCCTCTCTCGCCGTGCGCTGGCTGGTGTTGCTCCCGCTGCCCGTCCTGGTCTGCGTCTCCATGCTCGTCTCCATCCGCTCGCTGGGTCCGTTCTCCATCGTCGCGAACGCCGCGCTGCTGATCGGCTTCGTGTCCGTCGTCGTCTTCATTGCGCACCACTACCAGTGGCGCCCCTCCCACCCGCCGCTGGCCGACTTCCCCATCTTCTTCGGTCAGATGACCGCGGCCGTGGAGGGCATCGGGCTGGTCGTGCCGGTCGAGACGAGCATGCGCAACAAGCACAAGTTCCCGCTCGTGCTGCGCATAGCGCTCGCCATCCTCGGCACCGTGCTCATGGTCGTCGGTGTGCTTGGCTTCGTCACCTTCGGCGACACCACCAGCTCCATCATCCTGCGCAACTTTGGCCACTCCTCCACCGTCGTCGTCGTCAAGGTCGTCCTCATCGTCGGCATCCTCTTCACGTACCCGCTGCAGATCGTCCCCATCATTCAGTTTGCCGAGTCCGCACTCATCTCCGACGACGAAGCGTGCCCAGACGGCACAGAGCTGGAAAGATACGACTCCGACTCCAACGACGACGAGCCCGCGAGAGACGCGTCCACGTCTGACAAGCTCTTCATCCGCGACCGCCGCCGCGCCGTGCTGCGCGTGGGCATCATCGCCGCGACGGCGGCTGTGGCTATGATCGCGGGACAGAGCTTCGGCCTCGTGCAGAGCCTGGTCGGCTCGCTGGGTGCGAGCTGCCTGGCCTACACCGCGCCGGCCTTTTTTCACTACGTCACGTTCCGAGACGAGTGCGGATGGGCTACCAAGGCCAAGGATGTCGCTATCATCGTCTTCGGCGTCGTGGGCGCCATCGTGGGAACGGCGACCACATTAGTAGCGTTCAGTTCTGGCGAGGGCGAGGGCATGTGACGGGCGCTAGACAAACATTGCATTTTATGCTCGGATGGGTCGGTGGAAGCGTCGGGCGCGGGGGCGTTGGGCGTGTCTCCAAGGAAGGGGGGGGCGGGGGGGGAACATGTGCGCACTGATACGCAGCTCGTTGACGTGATGTCGCCGTGGTTGGACCGGGGCGTGGCTGGGAGGCGTTTCGGGTACCGGCGGGCGCTGGTTGGACGGCATAGTCTGGCGGTCTCGAGTACTAACATAACATAACATAACAGTGGAGAGATGCGGCGTCCTCGGGCGGCGGCGCGGATGGCGCGGGGGAAATGCCGCGTCGCGAGGTGACGGCGGTGCAGACAGGAGGCGCCCGGCGTCGTCACCGTCTTGTTGAAACGCCGTGGCAACCTCAGCTGCGGAGAGAAATTGATTCGCTCCCATCATATTGAACGGATTCGCGAAAGCGCAAAAAAACGTCTCCGCCACCACCTCGGTCCCCAA